AGTATAAATTGAAGTTGTGCGAGATTATCCGGGCATGGCATTTAAGTGGTACTAGGACGAGATTTTAGTTGTAGCATTTGCTTGACCACATCAACTCAAAATGTCCAAAACTGCCTTTCACTGTCGTCATGGGTCACGTCTAAGTCTTGGGTTTTCAACATGGGAGTCCCTCGACGTCCTATCTAGGCCGTTCATCTACCTGACAGAGCATCGAAGTGTCAGTGGTGTTCATGATGAAAAATGGTGATTCTTATTCAGGTGGATCGGACGCTTTCCGCCTAATCTACATTGCTCTAGTCTCTCAGAAAGGTCGCTATGTCAGGGGCTTTATTGACTTCCCAATTTTCAGGCAGTTTTAGTGCCACAGGCAATCGCTGCAATGAACGATGGAGAAGTCAGTCGTCATCGTTCTGGCAGGCACGGTGAGCATCTTCATCTTTAAGTTGCATTTTATTCACAAGTTTCAGTCGATCCTTTCAGAAACCGACGTCACCTGTTCGGGGAACAGCTCTTGCGCCTGCAGCCCTTCTAGCACTTGGTTCAACGGGACATGTATTCGTAAGCGATTTCTCCTCTATCAACGGCGAATGCGTTGCTAGCAACGGAGAAAACAAGGAAACTTTTCCAGCCCTTCTCAATGAATGTGGTGATAAAGCGCTAAACGACTGCGATCCGAATGCGACGTGCATGGATAACCCGCTATCGTACGAATGCCTGTGTCGTGAGAATTTTCTCGATGTCTCACCGGATCCCGTGAAGAAACCTGGTCGAAAATGCATCGAGCGTCAGTTGTTTTTTGAAATTCGTTTCGTATACTCGACAGCGCCGTCGACGCCCATATTACGCATGTTGGAGCTGATGTCAGCCAGTGGGACCTGACTTATTGGGGGTTTTTTGTACCCAGATCAGTTCCGTGAATCTGTTACTACCAAAGCATTATCTTCAATACTTCAACCACGAGCACAAAGACGATGTGGTGCGAGCAGGGAAACCCAAACTTCGACTTTGTTTATGAAACCTCGTGGTAATCATCTGTGCAAGCAACCCCTAAGGTCTACAATTCCGTATTCACGAGGTTGGGTGGTAAGAAGACCATGCTAAACAGTCCTTTTTCTGCAGTGACTCACTATTTTGATCAGGTATGCACTCATACCTTCAAAATCCTGAATGGAAGTGCTCATGATGAGTCACATCAACAACGCAACAGTCCGAAGTCTTCTGTTTTCAAAAACTTTTTTCATAGGGCCGGGTTAAGCGACGCCAGCCACGCTAACACACAGTTAGGCAGTTAGACGTAGTAGGGAAACATATGGTAAGGAAGGGACCCAGTTGTAAAAAACAGGTATGTAGGACTGCTCTAGGCCGGTTGATCAGTAATAAACTAAACTACAGGGTGGGCCAAAATTATGATTACACAGAAATCACATCGCA